TCTGAGTTCAAGCCCTAGTACCAGCACACACATGCACACACGCACACACACACGATATTGCTGTTTGATATCTTACTTTTCTTCCTGTAAAATATTCTTGCAGGACTGGGAATGTGGTTTAGTGGTAGAGTGCTTGTCTTGATGCTTGAAGCCCTGGGTTCGATTCCTCAATACCATAAAAACAGTTAAGGCCAGAAGTGGCACTGTGACTCAAGTGGTAGAACACTAGCTTTGAGCACAGAGAGGCCCAGGGACAGTGCCCAGGCCCTGAGTTCAAGCCGCAGAACTGGCAAAAAAGAACCCCACAAAAAAACAAAACAAAAAACCTTTTTGTACTGTTTATTTGCAGGATTAATATAAACATCATTTAAAAAAAACCGGTACTGTAATCTTTTTTGTTCCATCATCAATTTATTAACTAATACATTTGTATACTCGGTCTCCCTTTCCCACCCACCTCTGTAGCAGGCCTCCCATCTTCACTTCTACACATATTGATTTATTTACGCCACTGTTGGCTTGGTGGCTCTCCCAGCAGACCACCTTGCTCCCAGAGAGCAGACCCGTGATTTACTAGGGAGGGTCACAAGAATGCTTCTTTCCCAGTGCTCCATTGTCTGCGCCTGAAACCAGCTGTCTATTATAAAATGGTCTCGCTTCCAATAGTCAGTGGTGTTTATGTGCTCCTGGGATCTCCCAGCTGATCCAACCTCAGCCAGCTTTACTCCTACCCCACAGAAGCCCACACATAAAACAGAAAGAAAACCAGAAACTCCCCCGAGTTGGTGTTAGAGGTTTGGGTTTGTAGTCTGGGTTTGTGAACTAATCTTGACATGCATGCTAATTGTAGGCGGTAGGAAGTTGACCAGGAATTTGTCAAAGGTACTAGCCAGAGAGAGAACTTGATGGCATTATTAAACAAACAAACACAAAAAACAAGGCTGGTGATGGAGCCGCATGCCTATAATCCTCACTACTCAGGAAGCTGTGATCTGAGCATTGAGGATCAAAGCTAGCTGGGCAGATAAATCCATGTGACTCCCATCTCCAAGTAACCAGAAAAAAGCTAGACTAGAGGTAAGACTCAATTGTTAGAGCATACAAGCTAAGTAAGCAAGCTAAGCACGCTTGAAGCCCTGAGTTCAAAATTCAGGTACTAGAAATAAACAACAAACCCTCAGTCACATACTTAGACTAGGTCTTATTGGATTTCATCTGAAGGTTATTTATTTGAGACTACATATTCTGTCTGATTGTGTGTGTGTGTGTGTGTGTGTGTGTGTGTGTGTGTGTGTGTGTATGTGTTAACATTGCAGTAAGAAAAATGGCTAGGGTGGGATTGGAGGTAGCTCTGCTTTTGAGTTGCCCTTGAAAGAGAGCACCCTCCCCCCATAAAGTGAAACTCTAGTTACAAGATTTTAGCCTGGTCCATGGTGGGGTTCCACACAAGGAGAGGGGAGGGCAGAAGCTTCATGTTTCCAACCTCCCCAGAGTTCTTAATGATTGCTGAGCAAATCCAAACTCACGGTTTCATTTTCCTATGCTTGATTGGGAGAAGGATTCTCTATTTTGACTCTGATGCTTGAGGTAAAGTGGCAGTCTGGTATTTGGTACAGAGATGTATTACAGAGGCCCTAAGCCTTAAAATAAATGTTAGCAAAGGAAAAAAACACATGGATTTCTGGAAGTTCATATTGTCCACTGCTTGGGGGAATTAATAAACACATGTGCCTTGGAGCATCATCTTTCATTGATCTCATTCATGTCAATGGAACCAGTACTCTCAGTAACAGTAATATTCATATAATCTAGAAAGAATCAAAATGAGAAGATCTGATGTAACTGATACTCCTCTCCTAAAAACCCAAACATTTTTTGTTGTTGTTGTTGTTTTCCTTTATGGTAGAGTGAACCTCACCAATATCTATGAATTTATTTACCAAGTTACTTGTTTTAGTTTGGCAAGACAAATACTGAAGTTGAAACAGAGGTTATCTAGGACATTAAGAAAACATACAAATAATTTTGTGATAATAGAATTTAGCAGAAGTGCGTCATTAGGATTTTTTTAAAGCACCGTGTGTGTGAGAGATCTAATCAGTAATTTACTGGTTTGTTTTTTTTTTTTAAATTTAAGCAGTGATTGCAGGAAACAAAACAGGCAGATATAATATTTGGTTTCCAGAGTATTTCTAATTAATGCATTTTCTCAAGTAAAGTAACTTGGGACTTTGAAAAGGTCTTTTAAGAATACAGGAAAGAAACATGTATATGTGTAATGCAGATTATTTTCTCAGAAAGTAGTGGTGAGTTAGCAGAGGATAAAGTAGTGGCTGGTGATCACTGATGGGCGATCTCAGCCAGCTCTTCAGAGGTTGTGTCTCCAGTTGTAGAGCTAGTCATCAGCATGGCACTAGCCACAGATAACTCAGCAGTCCCCCTCTGGAATTCCTTTCCTCAATACAGAATTTTCAAATGAGAATCTCAGACATACCAAGAGGAGGTGTGCTATGCAAAATAACTGGCCTAAATTCTTCAACATCAATCCCATGCAATACAAAGACTCCAGAATATTCTATCTTAAAGGGGATGTGGATAGCTGAGTGAATGGTTAGTATTGAATTTTCTTTGGCTGCAAAGGACATTGCTAGGTAATTGGTAAATCTCAGTAAAGTCTAGAGATGAGATTATTGTTTTATATCAGTAATTCTTTTTTTTTTTGGGTCTGGTCATAACAAAAAGTAATTCTTTTGATTGAGGTAATTGTACTGTGGTTATTATGTATGAGAATTTCTTCTTCTCAGGACATATTGAGGACATAGCTGCAATTTACTCAATGGTGATTTTGGGAAGAAGAAGAAAGGATAAAACAAGTTTAGTAATGTGCCAACAATTGAGAAACCAAGGGAAATAAGTATTCTTCTTTATGTAATATTTCAACTTTCTGTAAAGTCCACAGAACTTTTTTTTTTTTTTAAAAAAAAAAAACAACAGAGAAATGATGGGCTAGCTATAAAAATGGTTTTGATGAGCTAGTGGCAGAGAAACTTTTTTTTTTTTTTGGGTCCAGTCGTGGGGCCTGAACTCTGGGCCTGGATGCTGTCCTTCAGCTCTTCAGCTCACGGCTAGCGCTCTACCACTTGAGCCACAGCGCCACTTCCGGCTTTTTTCTTTTTTTGCTTATGTGGTGCTGAGGAATCGAACCCAGGGCCTCATGCATGCAATGCAAGCGCTCTGCCACTGAGCCACCTTCCCAGCCCCCAGAGAAACTTTTTATACAAGTACTTTTTCTAATTTTTTTTTGTCTGTTGTGGGGTTTGAACTCAGGGCTTGGGCAGTAACCCTGAGTTCTTTTGCTCATGGTTAGTACTCTACCATTTTGAGTCATAGCTCCACTTGCAGTTTTCTGGTGGTTAACTGGAGATAAGTCTCGAAAACTTTCCCTGCCCAGGCTGGCTTTGATCCATGATCCTCAGATTTGAGCTTCCTGAGTAACTAAAATTAATGGGTGTGAGCCACCAGTGTGTGGCTTTTCTCAATTTTTAATTTGTTGCCAAGTTAACTTTGTTATCTGTTCAGATACCACAGCCCAAGTCTGTTCACACTGGGTTTGTTGTGGTACCCATCATTTGCAGGTTCTGAAAGTCCCAGGTTCAAAACAAAACCAAAACCAAAGTGCATTAGAGGGAACTAACTACCAAGTCAGTCAGCACAGCATCTTTGTATACTACATAAGAAGTCTGCCGTTAATGTAAGCTATTTTTTTTTTGTCACCAAGAAATGGAGGGTTTTGTGAATGTGTAAAAGTAATTTTATTAACAGTTTAAAGCCGTGTTTCCTTAGTATTATGCAGTGATACAACATTAAATTAGTTAAAGTTATCCCAATGCAGGGCCTGCTCTGTGTGTTTTTCTTTGTCTCAGCTATTAACGTATAGACCCACAGGGGAGTTCAGGTCTCAGGGAAACTTCTTGGTGTCCTGAAGCAAAATGTGCAAAGATTAAAAAAAATAGTCAAAATCATCTTGGCTGATGAGACAGTTTGGGATGCCATATTTATTTTGAGCATAGGATGTAATTCTTAGTTTAGGGAGATAAGTTTATGGCTTAAACACACACACATACATACACCCTCCCCCCCATATACTAGTGAGTATTACTGTTTGGGTGGGTGTATGCGCCATGAGAGTGTGTATGTTCAGCCTGTTGGTGAGAAGAGGGATTTTCCCCCTGACTGTGAATTATTTAAAACCTGACACAGTGACTCATAGTTGTTTTCAAATGCTCCCTCCTGGAAGACTAAATGTTGGGGTTAGAACTGATAAGATGAGGTGGCAAGCACACATCATTTAAGAATCAAATCTACATGCTTTTCTACATTTCAGATAAACAGTATTGCCAGCTATTCAGCCTTCTGAGGTTTCCTCTTTATTGATTAGACTTATTTTTATTCTGGATTGAAAGGAGAATTATAGTTGTCTCGACAACAGAGGTTCATCATACCTACACAGATTCAAAGATGCGTATTCTAATAAAGTCATTGATGCACAGAGGAATATATCTTATTCCACTTAGTTTGGGTGGATCTTGGACAGTATATCTTTGTTCCTTTTCTTTTTTTTTGGTTACAGTACTAGGGTTTGAACTCAGGGCCTGGGAACTGTCCCTGAACTTCTTTTGCTCAAAGCTAGAGCTCTACCACTTGAGCTGCAGCTCCACTTCTGGCTTTTATTTGGCGGGAGAGGCCGTGGTAGTTTATTGGAGATAAAAGTCTTCTGGAATTTCCTGCCCAGTCTGGCTTCAAACTGCGATCATCAGATCTCAGCTTCTTAAGTAGCTAGGTTTATAGGCATGAGCCACTGATGCCAGGCATGCAGCTTAAGACAGACTGCACAGTGAGGCCTTTGGGCCTGCAGCTGAAGTGATCTAGAATTCAGTTGTTATAGTTTGTGTTCTGCTACTTGGTTCCATACCCAGCTAAACTCATGCTTTTACTTCCAGGCCATAGTATATGAAGGCCAAGACAAGAACCCTGAAATGTGCAGAGTTTTACTCACACACGAGATTATGTGCAGGTAAGAATTCCTTGTTCTCTTTAATTAGTATTTGCATCTCAAATCTAGGTGAACTCAGGCTGAGTTGGGGTGGGGTGGGGTGGGGAGTACTACATTTGTCTTGGTTCTAGTGACAATCTAGAAAGAATTGTTAGATGTGAATATTTGATAGCAAAGTGTCAAGCATCACAGTCATTGTCAATTATTTATTAGATTTCATCCTGAAAGACATCCATTTCTTTTTTGATGTCGCACTATTAATGGGCAAGGCAGTGTCCTCCCTTCTCCCTTACAATTGAATAAAACACTGTAGGATTCTTTTAGTGTTAATATATGCCCTCAGCTGCATTGCTAGGAAAATGACTAAGCTGTCTACTGAAGTCAGCAAAGGTTTCTATTTGGGTAAACTTGAAAGATAAGCTCCCTCTTCAATTCTTCCACTTAAGAATAGGACCACCTGAATCTGGCCATCATTTCTTCTTAAATCGAGTGATTTTCTTCTTCTTTTTCCCCTTTCATCTGATCTTTTTCTTAACCCTGTATATAACTGACAGTATAGGTGGTATTTCTTAGAAGTGGTAAACTTTTGAGCTTTTGGAAGGATAGAAAGATGAATCCCTAAAAGGTCGAAAAATTCACGTGTCTTACAAACAAACATCTTTATTTATTTAATTTCCTGTGCTCAGACTGAGCTACATTTAAAAATAGTAGAGCAGATCACGTTCACCTGCGTGACCTCAGCCAGGTTTGCACGTGTGAGGGAGGAGAGCAGGGAAGTGCCTTTGAACTTGCGCTGTTATTCTTTGTAAAAATAACCCCAGCACTTAGCTCCCAGTATATTCTGAGTAATTGGATAAAGCATGGGAATGCCACTGTGCATCAGGAGAAGGCTACTAATTGCTTTGTTAGCCAGGCAGGCTTTTCCTGGCACAAAGTGGGCCTGGCTGCTGACCATTTCTTTCTTTCTTTCTTTCTTTTTTTTTTGGGTCCGGTCGTGGGGCCTGAATTCTGGGCCTGGGCGCTGTCCCTCAGCTCTTCAGCTCAAGGCTAGTACTCTACTAGTTGAGCCACAGTGCCACTTCGGCTTTTTTCTTTTTGCTTATGTGGTGCTGAGGAATCGAATCCAGGGCCTCAGGCATGCAAGGCAAGTGCTCTACCACTGAGCCACCTTCCCAGCCCTGGCTGCTGACCATTTCTGACTAATCCATATAGGACTTACGCTGCCCCCTCTGTCTAGGGGCTCTTTATCAGCTGCTCATGGACTTGGCAGGGGTAGAGGTGGGGGGAAATCTTAAAACTGTTCAGTAAAGATAAAGTCAACCGGGCTTAATGTGTTTCCTAGGTGACATACAAAGGTTAACTTCTTTTATGTCTTTTAATCTTTCATATTTTCATTTTCCAAAAGAAGACTTTTAATATGTTATTCTAAAATATACAGGAGATTCGCAAGTTTTCACTTCAGTGGTTTGGAAAACTTGTTAATTATTGAAAAGAAAAAAAAAACCCAGGTTGTTTTTCTCTAACTTTTTATTTGTAGCAGAACCCAAACAGAAGTTCTTGGATTTCTTATGTTATTAGGCAAACATTAGGAGCATAGTGAGTCTAATATAGTATAATAATGAGTGTAATATAGCTGAGATGTATCTTTCAAAAGTCAATGAGTAAAAGTGAATGCATGAAAAATATTAGAAAATAAATTTCTTTGTATTACTCATTTTCTCATCATCTCTATTATTTTTCCATCTTACAATTAGCATATTATTAGCGTGAATTTTCTATGCTGTACCTAGGAGAACATAGGAGAACGGAAGTAAGAAGATGGATCTCAACTACTAGGCCAGATAATATGTACATCTACATATATCATAGATTTACATCTCATATCTGCACGTCTGGATTAGGGTAGAAATAATTCTATTCTTGAAATACTTAAAGATATATTACACCTTTCATACCCAAGCCTACCCTCTATTAATGCAGTTTATATTTTCCTTGTTTTTAAAATTCATTGGCCCAAAGTGCTTTATTATGCTAGCTGGTGTGCTTTACAGCTCATGTTCTCTCTATTTTTCAGAAACATAAAAATAGCAAAAATAAAATTCTGAAGCCACTGAAGGCAAATGATGCTGTGTTCTTTCTGCGTGGCTAAGAGGGAAAAGCCATATTCAAAATGTCATCCTGCTAATGTTACAGATTACCGTGCTCCTGGCTGCCTATAGATGTGTAAGGGGGTAGTGTTTGTTTACCAGGCCGCCATGACCCCATTACACAAACCTGTCATCTATTGTATGGCTAACAGTCTTTTAAATTGCAAATCTGATGCTCTTTAGGGGGCTTTACGGAAAAAAAAATTCTCACTTTCCACATCATCCTATTTCTCTTGATTTCTTGCCTGTTGTAAGTGGAAGTTGGGATGTGCTGAATTTGCACCAGGGGTGCAAATGCAGGCTCAATTATAAGCATAAAATTAGAGTCTGTTCACCATTAATCAGCTTGGCTAATTGCTATGCACCACCATTAGCCATATGGTGTGAAAGACAGCTTGCTCTCCCCAAGATGAAATTTCTTCATTGCAGACATGAAATAGTAGGGCCCTGGATTTTAAGATGGCTTGTTTTAGATATTTAATTTCTAAACAACTTTCTGCAGTGCTTTCTATCAAAGCTAACGGCACAATAAAACTTTGCGTGGATGTCACAGAAGCTATATATTTATAGTTCCTTGGCTATGGTAAGGGAGACACAGAGAATTTAGATCGACCAGAAAGGGCTCGGTATGATTCTGTGTTGTGGTAGGCAAATGAGAAAAAAAAAAGATAAACACCAGAGGGTTGTGTCTTGGGTGCTGTAAATTTTAAAAACCCTTGTGTTCTGTTAGGAAGGTGACACCATTCTATGCACCGGCTAAAGGAATTGCTACTATTAGGTTCTAATTATTGCCACTCCGAGACAAACCTTCCTTGTCTTAATGACATGGAGCTCTTTTGTGGGATTATGGGAGAGTTTCTGCCTTTTGGTGAATTGCAGTCTATCAAACCTATCATCATTGCATTTGCCAATATTAGTGGTGGGTTCCTGAAAACAATTTAGCTCCATGAGTCACGCTTTAGAGTGGGAATTTAGGAGAGATTTGAGTGTAAACACATCCTAAACTCATATGTTCAAGTGTGGATGGGAAACAGGAACTCTGCTTGTAGGTGAGCTTGGTCCCCAAGCCCCAAATGAGGCTGAAGGAAGCAAGGATTCTCCATTTTCAGCACACAGGACAGTGACAGGGAACAGCCATTCCGTGTAGAACAGTACTCTTTTTTTTTTTCCACTAGCAGCCACACATCCTCAAGGCTGGCCTGCTTGCTTGATAGGCTTGTGCTTCCTTCCTCTTTACCACTTCTGATTTCTTCCTTCGGATGCCCACTGGAGCATGGTTTCCTCATGGTTAGGCCCTTGGCCCTGGGTCTGAGTGGTGTCTCCTTGGGTGCAGTCCTGTGTGGACTGTGCTTTTCCTTCATAGCACTCAGGGTTCTCACAATGGACAGATGGCACACGCACCGTTTTTCTTTGTTGTACTCCTTGAAGTCAGGGAGTTACTCCTGTGCTTCAGTTGTCCCATTTGTGAAGTTGGGTTTTAAAACTGTCTTGTAATGGTGGGAGTTAAGATTATATGTTATCTTCCCTGTACATGTTTATTATAGGGCCCAGTATTAAATGTATACTATCACTATTAGTAGTAGTAGGTTTTTTTCTGTTTGTTTTTGTAGTGCTAGGGATCAAACCCAGGGCTTCGTATATACTAGACAAGCACAGTAGTGTTAGTTTTCAGGAGGCTGTGGTAACAATATTCACAGTGCAGAGCCTGGTGCATCATTGCTCAGAGTGAATAATCAACCTTGAAGTCCAATTTCCACTAAAACATGAATATACTTTGGCCATTCCAGTTGAGGAGGCTAGAGGTGTCTTCAGTTTTTAGAGCAAAGCCTTGTGGTATGCAGTCAGAAAAGCTGGGGACTCAGTTTATCCCAGGGAGCTGGCACCTGGCAAACTAATTAGATTGACTCTGGAAAGGTTGAATGGAATAAACATTTGAGGCAAATTTGCCTGTTCAGAAAAGGGAAGAAACAACTGTAGGTAGATCAAGGCAACAGGAACGGGAAGAAAGGTCAGGTAGGAGGGGGCTTTTAGAGGGCACACGAAGACCTGTTTTGTTAGTGGTCCTGCTAGAATACTCCTTGGAGAGGTCTGTAGCTGGGTGTACCTGTACTGGGAAGAGAGTCTTAGTCAAAGTGACTTTAGTGATAAAGGTGAGAATGGAGGCTATGGGCTGAAATGGGGTTGACCAGATGGAAGAACAGAAAGGTGAGAAGCCCCAGTTCCATACTTCAGGAACAACTACCTTTAGCCAGGAGGGAGCACATGCTGGAGCAGTAAGCAGAGAGAAAGAACTTTGAGCAAACAGAAACAAAGGCTGAGGGGGGAGAAGGGGGTAGGCTCAGAGAAGGAAGTCATCCAGGTAGCACATGATAGAGTGACCTGGAGAGAAATGAAGACTGAGTATGACCAGCAGGCCACTGGTGATGCTGAGAGACGAGATTCAAATAGGTGATGAATCATTCCCTACACTCTTGGTAGTGATTTGTGGTCAAGCTTGGTGGGAACTCTTAGAAGAAGGGTGTCAAGGAGCAAGGAAAGAAATTCAAGAGAAAAGAAGGAAAACTTGATAGTGTGAACCCAGAGGGGAAACCTGGGAAGGAGGAATCAAAGGTGCAAACCAGAGGAATACTCCGTGTTGGGAGGTCCCAGGTGAGACAGAAAGGGAGGCGTCTGGAAGCCCCAGGACCTGAGTTAGTATTTTAAGGACAGCTAACTTTAAGACATGGGGGGCTGGGAAGGTGGCTCAGTGGTAGAGCGCTAGCCTTGAGCTGAAGAGCTGAGGGACAGTGCCCAGGCCCAGAGTTCAGGCCCCACGACCGGAACCCCCCCCCCCCAAAAAAAAAAGACATGGGGAGGAGGTAGAAGATAGTTGCG